TGGGGCTGTGAGCCTCCCTTGTCCTTCTGCTGCTGATCACCATTCTGCAGCAAGCCACTCTTCCCTCCCCCCCCCATGCTGGTAGTCCAGCAGGCTGTATAGAGCAGCTCTCAATCTGGCCTGCTGGCCATATATTTGACAACCCCCGTGCTATAGGATCACTGGCAGCAGAAAAAGGCCAATATCCCCATTTGAAAACATCAGACAACTGGTATTTAGGTGCCCAAGCAGACACTTAGGCATCTAATTCCAAGCGTTTGTTTAAAAATTCTTACTATAAATCATATCAAAATGAACGTTACTTGCACACTGGCTCAGGCTGATTCAATTCTGTCTCTTGAATACAATTACCTCGGTTTTCAAGATTATTGTAAAAGGCCAGATGAGAAAACTGTGCATCTAAGCAGGTAAAGTTCATGGTAATTTTGCAGTCACGATCCCTTCCTCTCTCCCCCCTTTATCACACACATGCATACGTGCACGCAACTTAACCTGCATACATGCACTTTTACAAATACTCACGTGCGCACGCACATTGGCAAACTGGACAATACAAAGACCCAATTCACTTTCCTACTGGAGCCATCAGAACCGATGCTCAGAACATGGACCCTGAGTAATCTTAGTGTTTCCAAGGAGAAGTTTTCTATTAAACATGAATTGCCCACAGAAATCTAGATGGCTTTCTGCAGAAAGATTACTGGCTCCTAAACTGAAGCTCGCCTTCCTCCTATCCATGGCAGAGAAAGGGACGAGAACATTCTAGCAGGGCCCGCCAAGTTTTTCTAGTGCTTTGACTGCAGGTACCCTATAAAAGAGAAGGAGAAGCAGGAAGGTAAGCCTCTTTGGATTACTCCTTTGCTGACCCACCATGTGCTGAGAAACCAAGTACCAGCAGAGAAATGCATTAGTCAATAGCATCCACAGATTAGCCTAGCAGGTGAACGGCCTCAACATGTCAATAAAGCACTCAGCAGCATCAGGGAATTGCGAATGGGAGACTAATAACCCCCTTTTCTCATCCCTGCTTTCCTTTGATTTGTCCTTAACTTGATGAACAGTGCACAATTCAAATGATGGGTATGTATGTCTATCTGAAAGCAGATCAAAATAATTCCATCACAAGCATGATTGACTCCTTTGATATGCATTGCAACAAAAATAATCCTGCAGGATGTTGGGCGTTAATGTGGATTTCAGAAGCACTTCTCTAGAAAATTTAGACAGCCAGTAATGACTCCTGCTAACTGGATTGCACTTTTAAAAGCACTAGCATGTATTTTAATAGATGTCAAAGACAGAGAATTTTCCACTGATATGAAGCTGCCAGTCAAAATCCCAGTTCAGTCCAGGGCAAGACTTTTCAGTTCAAAGATTGTGAAATTCACCCATCAGCCAGAACAGATCCACTCTATTCCACTCTAGTTTTGCACTAGAAAGTATTTTACAAGTATTGTTTCCGTTACTTGCATCTTCTCAGAAAAATAGCAGTCCAAAATTGCTGGAATACAGACGTTAACCATAAAGGCTTACAACATTTTATAAGCAAGGGTCACCAGTTTAGCCCCACAATCAGCCAATTTAGGGCACGAAAAATGCAATGGGAAATCAGATTTCTCAAAATGCTGTTCAGGATCAAACCTAATTAGCTCATACAAAGAGGTTCTTTTAATGAAAAATGGCATGAGTGTACCTCAGATGGTAGGGGAAGGAAAAACCAAGGCATATTTCCTGCACAATGTTTGGGCTGCATAATGGTATTTTATTCCTATTCTGTAAATTGTAATTTTAAATGTACTGTAATTAATTCTAATTGCCACATGGAAATAAAATGCATGAAAACCTGCTGCTTGTCCAGTACTAGGTATTTTCTCTTTCCTTCCTTTTTTTTTTTTTTTTTTTCTGGAAAAGACTTTTGATTCTAAAGTTATCTGTAACTGCAACAGGTGGAAAAGCAGGGAAATAATGCAATCAAAGGAGAAACGGCTTAATGGCAGGACTACACAGGTGCACAAATTTCCTTGCATTGGAGTGAGACAGGGAGGGGACTCTCATTTGCTGTCATTTGTACCGCTATGTTCTGAATGTATATTCCTTTTGTGAGAGGGTGAGGCGGGTTCCCGTTTTACTGTATGGATGAAAATGCATCCCTAAAAAAAAATAAAATTGTGGCACATTTACTTGAGACACATTAGTAGATATAACAACTACATTGCTGTATAGTAAGTGAACTAAGACGGGGGAAACGTCCCACAATCAGTAGTTAAAGTACAGTGAATGTAGAACTCCATTAATCTTCAAGGGACTTGCACCATGCAAAATAGATTCACTCTCACATATTACAAGCTCCGCACGCGCTGCACCACTCTGTTCACATTCGTAAACCAGGCACAGAAGTACGCGCACGTGAGCAGCTGAGCATAATGCTTTTTGACTGGCATCCATAATACCTTCTGCTGTATGCAAATGTCAGGGTTTAGACCTGCCAAAAAGGAGGTCAAGTTGGGCAGGAAGAATAGTGTAGAGACAGGATATTGGAGTGGGGCTCAGAAGATTTGGCTTCAACTTCCTGGCTTCTTGTGTGACCTTGGGCATTAATTCTATCCTGTTCCTAACCAGTAAAATAGAAATTTTGTTGTATAGTCACAGGAGCTTTTCACGGATAACACCCATGCACGATTTTCAGGTTCCCAGTGAAGAGGGCCACAGAAGTTAGGGATCTCTAGGCAAGTTGGACACAGTATGAAGTCATACACAACAGGAACATCGAGGCTTTTCCAAGTTACACAAAGGCTGACGTCCAGTTCTTGCTGGCTCCTAATGAAAACCCGGCATCCCAATTACTTAAGCACCTGTGAACATCTCAGTCTCAGCTTCTGGACAAAGCTGTATATTGCTCATATGGCAGCAAGTTTCTTAGGGTACAACATCCAGATATAATGCTGAACACCAGGTACATATAGTGAATGTAACTAATGATAGTCTTTGCTCTTTATGTTTGTACATGGCCCAAATGGTGCCTCTGAGTTCCCAAGAATATGCTGTTTAAGCATCTGCAAGTCTAGAGTTTCAAAGAAAAAAAGAAACATGTGCCTCATGAAAATGATAGTAGAAAAGGGAAATGTAATAAAATATACCAACCAAACAAATGTGGACTCTCTCCTGATGTGCACAGATAATACAAATCCCTGCCTTCCCCTGAACTTTCACGCATTTTTCAAAGCAAATTTGAACTGAAGGATTTTTTTTTAGATTCATACATAGCCAGGCACAGATGTTTCAGCTTCCAGCTTTCAGACCCGTCCGAAAAGTTTCAAAACAACACAAGGGGAAGGTGTTTCTCACAGTATTTCAGACCTTGTATGAGACAGCATGTTCTCGTGAGAGTCCCAGCCATACCAGGCATGTCATATAGGTTTGGTTAATGTGTTTCTAAGCCAACTCTCAAAGTTTCTAAGTAAAGGTGAGGGAAGGTCAAACCGCAAATGTGAATATTGCCAGCTTTAAACATCCTACAAGCTTTGGCGAGCTTTGGAGCTAGATCCAAACTTTGTGGCTGTGGCCTCCTTTTTTGAAGTTCATTCGCTCTCGCTTAACAGCCATCTGAGTCTATTGGCTAATGACACATTTGATCCAAAGGCCGCTGAAGTCCATTTGAAATATTTCCACTGACTTCAATGAGCTTTGCACTAAGCTCAAAATACAACTTTTATAGTCACAGGATAACTCCAGATCAGAAGCTTTGCCTCTTTCCTATTATAATCCAATGCTGGGTTTTTTGTGACAGAGATAGATATGACATCCAGACAATGTTCTCTTCTCTTTCTATTCAGTCTATCTGATCTAGGCTTACTTTTCTATAAGAAAGCATCTTTGTACAAACATGCACAGTAAATACTTCTGAGACTAGACTGGCCCAGGGAGAAGCTAAGGGAAGACACAGGTAGGCTGAAGTTTCCTTTTGCTGGATTTCATTCTTGGCAGCTTGAACCATCTAAGAACCTTATTTATATTGTAATGTGATTATTGAGCATGGCTATTGTACTTGACTAAACTTTCCACCCCACTTACAAAGCTACTTTTTATTTAACTTTGAGCTCTGCCTGGGAGCCCCAAAGGAGATTTTAAAACAGAAGATTATTATTAGAAATTAATTAAGGATACTTTTCAATCCATGTACCAAGAGTAACTAAACATTGCTGCTGATCTCCACTGCATTAAAACATTACTGATTTGTCATTCTGAGGATGACGGAGAGGGACGGCTCTTCTGGAAGATACAAAACAGTGTACATATGGAAAGATTGGAAAGCCACTTAATGCAACCCATCATAAATAAGTAAAAAATATTAAATATGTAATTGCTGTGTCAAATGCAGTGTAGACATGTGAGGAATAAAATATTAAAGTACAGATAGGCATATTCCATAGACAGTAAAAAATCTTAAATGCATCTCTTACTATAATTAAAGGGCCCTGATTTGTTGTTCTTGGTACCCATTTCAATACAATAGAAAGAGGAATAAATACCCCGCCTATACAATTCTTTCACAAGAACATCATAAGTGCAAGGCGTTTGATTTGACGTTTTCCCTCTTAAAATTAGCAGTCTATAAAATAGTGCTGTTTTGATTAGACTGGTGCTGCCATGAATCCTACAAGCACAGAACAAGGTCACTGCCTCTGAAAACTGAGCTCATGTGGCTTTTGTCAAGATTTTTAGTGAACTAAGACAAAGTCCATGTTTTGAAGTAATGTTTGATTCAAGGACACAGACACCAGTATATTGCTGCTTTCCTTGTAAAATTAGCTATGCATGTTGCTATGGGTCTTCAAGCTTGAGATCGCAATTGGCCTTTATAATTTTCATTAAATTCGGTAGTATATACATGGCTGACCTTTTCCTGCATGCTGATGCTAAGGCGTGCAAAAAAGACTGTGTTACCAGCATCAGGGGAACAATAATCACTTGCAATAATAATGATGTGGGGTTCAACTTACTTTTTTGGTCTGTAGTCAGGAATGGACCTGTCCAGGGATATCCGGTCACTAAGCTGGGCATTGTAACCATATTCTTCATACTTAGTCTCAGACTCATGACTGTCATCTCTCAGAGTAGCAGCCATTCCTCCCTGGCCCAGGCCTCCTGGACCTTCAACTAGTCCCATTGGCTTGGCTAAACCTAGAGGGGAAAAAATAAAATTAAAGTAACAGTACAGAAGAGTTTGCAGTAGGCCTGGGATCCAGGCGGGTTTTTTAAATATTTAAGCAAATAGTGCTGTATTTATTCAAATACAAGACAAGGTTTTCTTCTCTCCAGTTGGCGGGGGGGGGGAAGACTCATAGTTGCATACAAAAACATATCGCTAAGCACACCATCTATCATTAAACTGCTGCCAAAAGCAGCATGTGCTCAGCAATAGCACATTGGGGAATAATGTGCTGATGGGAATCTAACACAAAGATAAGTAAATGCAGCCCATCTAGATAGGACACATGGTAGTGCCCACTAACCTCAGTCCCCCTCACCACTGTCTCTTTTTCCAGTCATGATGAGCCACTACACTGCATGCATTTTGACTTCCTCTTTATACCCACAGCTGAGCTGCACCTTTTGTTCCCATTTCCAACAATTCTTGTTTCTTCACCAGCCTTAAATGCCTGGCAAACGTCATGACATGGGGCCCCAAACAGTTCACCCAGACTCCCTCGATCTCTGAGGGTAGACACTACCCAATTCTCAAGCATCAAAGGAGTGCTGAATTTTTAAGCTCAGATGCAGTTTATGGTAGAGTACGAGGCTAGCTAGGAAGTTCAGGCCCTTTTGCTACAATCCTCAGACTCAGCTCCAGCTAAAAGTTTCACACATTTTAGCTAGTTTCTCTTATTACCATAAGACATTGTAAGAAGCAGATCTGAAATCCCACACAACTCAGATTTCAAATTTCCTGAAATTTTGTGAAAGTCTTTATTTTGGAAATGGCTTTTAAGGCAAGGGTCCATTATCTACACCTTCTATATTATGAATGCATAATGCCAGTAATTATGAAACAAACAGCAAGGACAAAATTAGCAGCATTTGAAGTTTTCCCAGTCTTCCCATCCAACTCCACTGAGTAGCTAACTATTCCTCTAGCTGAACTTCCAGCTAATTCAAAAGTTTTATTTTAGTGGTATATGAGAAACTAGAACAAAAATATTCCCCATCATTCAGAGGGCCATACTTTTTCTAAACATAGACTAAAAACATACCACTCATATTTTCAGATCTGTCCATAGTTGTGCTTGGAAGAAATAAAATGACATACAACTCAAATTTACAGACCTCAGGGCCGGAAGGGACCAGTAATTAGGTCACTGAGGAAGATGTCTTGAATTACACAAGACAGGGACTATCATCCAGTTACTCCTTTGAGCCCAATTACTTTTACTGGACTATTGCATTTTTTCCAGTAAGGCATTCAGGGATTGATCTGAAGGCCTCAAGGTATGCATAATCCACAACTTTCTTCGGTGGTTTGTTAATCACTCCAGCTGGAGAGTCAAGTACCTCCACATTAAGAAATTCACTCCCAAATATTATTCCCACTGGATCTTTCCATCAACTGCAAGAGAAACTCAAACATTATTAAAAGAAAATGAAAGAGGCATAGTGTAGCATACTCTATCCCTAGGAACTCTGGTCGAGACCCTCAGCTTGTATATCTAGCACAGCTTCATTGACTTTACTTGAGATATGCTGATTTTCACCATTTGAGAATCATGCCATGCATTTCCCAATTAGTGTTTTCTCTGAAAATAATGCTCATAAGGTCAGTTTCTCATTGCTAACTGTTGAGACATTAGTCAATGAACAATGCACTCAATAGCTATTACTCACTAATGCCTTCATTCTCATTTCAAGAAATCCATTCAAAACAA